CATTAGAAAACGTTGCTGAAATTTAGAAAATAGTGGTCATAATATTTCGTTGGACATAAATGAAGGTCGCCACGATGGTTGACAAAATGTCACCTCCCGACTTATAGGCGATGATATATTTCTGGTGACAGCTGAAATGATGGTTTTGATCGACCACTTTTTTTTTATATGGTTGTGGAAAGATTGTTTAATTAGACGACTCATTAAATATGCATGGTCAACCAATTTAAAAAAAAAAACCTAATATTGAACAACTCGAAGGGAAACAAGAGCGGACTTTTTTGACCCATCAAATAAGACAACAAGCTATTGTATTAAGTGTTCACGATTAAAAACATGATTATGAAATCCAGACTAAAGATTATATACGGTAATGTATATATTTATCCTGTGCCTATAATTGTGGGGGTAAAACACACTTGCAACTTAGAAGATAAGTATAATACGTACAAACTAATCAATTAAGAAGATTACCTTGCTAATTAAGTAAGACCTCTACCATGTCCATGGCCAATATAGTGTTAATGATCAGTCATTCCCCCCCTTGCTTTGTTTTGATGGGTTAATTAATACAATATCAAGTACTCCAGCCTTTCTCATTTGAAATATAGAGATCGATCGTGGAGATTTGATTATAAGCTAAGTTAGTTAACCCTCTTTTTTGTCTTCTATGTAGCTTTTAATTTTTTTTTTTGTTTTTTATAGGCATGTAGCTTTTAATTATAACTAAGTAAACCCCTAACATATACATATATGGTAACTTCATTATTAATATTGGATGGAAAAAAACAAAACATCTAATAACTTGGCGGCAAAGCCATTTTGAAATTGCAATGATTAATTGGCACTAACTAGATGGACCAATATAAAATCATCATTGTGTTCCCAATTTTGAAGGTAGCCCAAAACGGCAAAAAATTGCCCTGCCTTTTCCGAACCACTTAACTCGATCATGATTTGTCCATGGGGATTTCGATCCGTCTCAAACTTTGTTGGATCTTTTGGGATTGCTTTAATTATTATTAGTGGGGATAAAAAGTCATGTTTAGTTGGGATTAGCTAGCTAACTAGCTGTATGCAGACTTTCAAAATTTGCCGTGAATAATTCCAACTCAATTACATTAATTTAAGGGTTATATTGAAAGAATAAGTCACCTCTACTTTGAATATACATGTTCTTTCTTGCAACAGTGCCGATAAAATGGCTCTTTAACTTATACTGGTATGTCTTTTTAGAATTGGCGTCTTTGGTCTTCGTTTTACCGGCGGGTTAATGTTTTGTTCTGTTTGGGGGGTTGCTGGGGCTAGGATTTGTATCTAGTTTTTTTTTCTTGATGGGAAAAAAATAAAGTTTTATTGGTAGGAGAATGGAGGACTAATAAATAAGCATTATTTGTAGATTGCCTGAGCTAAATTTTGTTAAAATATGTATAAATAGTTAAATACAAGGAAATATGGTACGCCGTACCATGCTTTGCAATTTACTATATGTAGTATGAAAAAATACATATATGGCTACGTATAGTCTCTTCTTATATACCACTTACTGTACTCCTACAGGCTGCCAGCTTGTACATATACTTGGACAAGGAATATAATTAACTACTATATATTACATTAGTTCTACCGGCTGAAATTAGAAGTCTGAAAATTCTGATCCCGTGCCATAAGTTGTATTATTAGTAGAATGGAGTGAAAGAGCCTAATATTGTCATAATATCACAGTCGATAGGCTAAATTAATATCAACAATGTGATAATCTAATCTACAACGGGATTATTGATAAATTGGTTTGACGATGACAGTTATTTTGTGAAACATTTATATACATACGAGGGGCAATATAATATGGCGCTTTGCTTGAGTGGCGTACTTCTTAAACCCCTATGTAAATATATAAGGTTCGAATCAATAATTCCTCCGTGTAATGATGATTTCACAGAGAATGGTGATCCATCTCCATCACTTTTAACCTATCTTTTAATCACGTAAATATGTCTTGATGAATTGACCAGGAGATACGCCAGAAGGGGACAACATTCAATTGGGTTAGATATGCAGCAGCGTGCGCACCCATTTTACAATAATAAGGGAAGCAGAGCAAGTACACGTACTACAAACTAGCTAGATATATATGGTGCAAATGCATGAGTCGTCGCCGTTCAACCCGGCCGAAGAAAGAAAGGAATTGACTGAAAAGGTAGGAGGAAAGTGTGCATATATGAGAGGCATGGGCATACGTACCTCTCTTTAATTCGTGGCTTAGCTTGCATTCATGAAACTGAAATCTTATTGTTTCTCACATGTATATATGGTTCGAGATTTAGGAGGGTATTTTGGCTCCATAATGGGGCGGTGCTTACATATTACATTTGTCTTCTTCCTTCTTCTACATAGAGATGCGGCTTACTGTAATCACGTCAACATTGGATGGATTCAATGAATGTTGGTATACTCCAATGTTGAGAAATTAGATTTTCTTTGACCCTCCCCCTTTAGTCGCCTAGTCACAAATTTTCTAGTACTAGTGCATCATGTGCATGGAAGCATCGCCATAATGGATTGATGAAATGTAAGTTACGTTGAAAATTTATACCCAAATTCTAGTTTAGGCAAAGATAGAATCCAATGTGAGAATGTGATTGTTGATTATATGTGTGATAGATGATAAGCTCCTATATAATCTTATTTGTGCACGTGTAATAAACTAGCTAGTATTGGTTACCAAGTACTAACTAGATCGTCCATACTCACCTATACAATGTTCACTGACAAATCTCTTCTCATCATTATTCAGTATTCTTCAATATATAACTACTTCTCAATAGGGGTGGCTATACGGTCCGGTTCGGTTAAATTGGACCAAATTGATCCTGTCCCAGTCCGGTCTTTTCGGGAATATAAGGACCAAAGATTGGATTGGATACAATCCGGTCTTGAACCGGTCCGGTCCCAATTTTATCTTGATTTTAGGTGTTGGGGGTCTCTTATCCGGTTTTTTACCTCAAATCTAAGCCCGAATATGAGATTGCATTGTTTGCTATCCGGTCCCAGTCCGGTCCCGGTCCGGGTTATACGGTCCAGTTTCGGATAAAATCAAACAGTCCGGGACCAAATAGTTAGCCCTACTTCTCAAAGCCAACAACCAATTAATGAAAGAAAGTAATTAAGTATGATCCGATTTACAGCGAACTCAAAATTACTCCATAAAGCAATCTAACGACTCATACGTACGGATTCCTCATTATTTGCTCCGACAAAAACTACTTGACGCTTTGTTCATGCCATTGCTAGAGAAATTTGATTAAAATTCAGAATCTATTCTCATCTTAAATATTCTCACCCTTTTCAAATCCTAAATATTAACACCACATCATCCTTTGATTCGAATCCATCTTGGACCTTGAAATCTACAATAAAAAAATGGACTAGGAACACTAATTAAGTTAGTATTAACATAAGCTGGCCGACTTCGACCTTCCTTCATTGGTTCAATTTTTGTCGTCTTGTGTATGATACATTTGGAACAAGAGAATTAAATGCACGCGTAATTAAGGAAGATGGCCATGCAGTAGAGACTCGTAAATCGAAGAGCTCTGGCATTTGTATAATGTTTACCCGTGCCCGTTCCGGCTTCTACCTTAAGCTAGACACGTAAAACGGAGCCCCGTTTTCCGTCAAAAGCTCCAAAAGAAGTAGCAGGAAGCAACCAGACTGGTGCAGTAGTACTTCTGTAAACTGCGGAAATCGATGATAATTAACTATTAATTTGGTACAAAATATTACGGGAATGAACATGGGGAGCAGTATTACTAACATGTACATATGGTTAATTTAATTTGTTTAGCTTGCTAATCAGCCCATTAATTAATTAATTAATTAAAGTGAGATTTTGTGCGCTACAGAAAAGTTGGGTCTCTGTCTCCTACACCCCCGTCCATCGCAGCTCTCTCCCACGTTCTGATCGCTCAGCTGCCTGCATGCGACTTTGCTCATCGCCGATTTGGATCATCATTTCACGTGGGTCCATAGGATTCCGCCACGTCGGACTACGACTGCTTATGCATCCATTGCTAATCAGTAATTTGCTATAGTATAACAGCAATATTGCAGCTGATCAACTACTGATCCTCCCGCCGTAAGCAGCCGTCTAAACTAACTTCCGGCCGGTGAGATCTGATTAGCGGGTACTTCGGGTGCATGGTATCATCATCTAACGTTCGTTCATCTAGATCAGACGGTGAGGGTGCATTTGTGCTTTTACTGCGCGGTAATTAAGTGAGTGAGGGTTAAATCCTTTTGTTAAGAATTGGAATCCACCTGAAAGGAACAACATGGAGATCATAAGATTACCATTAACCAGCAGGCTTCTCAAGTAAGAGCCTGTTCACTGGCACTAGGGTACGTAGTTAAATAATAAAGTATATATTTATTTTAAACATTTTGTTATCTTTTACTGTCCTGCGTTCTGTATAAAATGGGATCTTTGACCATGTCTAGGCTACGTGGTGTGAGAAAGGAAGGAAGGGAACAGTAGAAGAGTGTTGCGTAAGATTTCTTTGTAACTTTTTTGACGGGTTAATGAAAAATTGGACCATATGACAAAGACAAAACTGTGAGCTGCAGGCTTTGCCTATCCTTTTCCCTTTTGGCATTTGTTTTGTCTCTGGTTGATTAATTTACTTGATGAACTATATAAAAAAATGATATTATAATATCCTAATTTGTTGTTTAATTTCAAGAAGCGCAAAGGTTTGTAGGTTGGTAGTGAAGGTTGTTGCATGTCTTTTCGTGTTATTTGTTGGGTCAAATGATTATACCTAAAAGTGGTGGTCGTTATACGTGAGAGTGAGAATTCCTAACTAATTTTCACAACCTAATCATTGATTGGCAAGTAAGTAGCCCATTTTACAAGCAACAACATCGCCTGATAGTAAATTTGAAGGATATGTACATAGTGGAAAACACTATAAACAAAAAGGGGATCGGTTAGCTTGACTACCCCTAAAGGGGTATGATTTTTGACACCCCCTTTATGATTGGCCAATTCTATTTTCAATCATTGGCAAATATTAATTAAACTGGTTTTTTATTTTTTTTAATCTTGTAATTTGGGGTCTCTCACCACATTGGAAAAGAGAAAGAATCTGGGGAAAAACGAAATCACCCCCATTAATTACATAATTAATTTCTCTCACTGGTACATTAATTACACGTACCAGTGGAGTACGTGTACCAGTGGAGTGGTACCTGTACTAGTGGAGTGGTATTTGTATCATTGAAGTGGTACTGCATTGTTGCTCCGTTATTGTTTATCATTGTTATGAAAAATATCATTGCACTGGTATTGTTCTCACTCTAACCTACCTTGTGGATTGCTCGCACCAGTGGAGTGGTACGTGTACCAGTGGAGTGGTACGTGTACCAGTGGAGTGGTACGTGTACCAGTGGAGTGGTACGTGTACCAGTGGAGTGGTACGTGTACCAGTAGAGTGGTACGTGTAATTAATGTACCAGTGAGAGAAATTAATTATGTAATTAATGGGGGTAATTTCGTTTTTCCCCAGATTCTTTCTCTTTTCCAATGTGGTGAGAGACCCCAAATTACAAGATTAAAAAAAATAAAAAACCAGTTTAATTAATACTTGCCAATGATTGGAAATAAAATTGGCCAATCATAAAGGGGGTGTCAAAAATCACTACCCCTTTAGGGGTTAGCATAGTATCCTACCCCACAAAAAGGGCATATTTGCCATTAATATTTGGATATCCTACTATTGAACCCAGTGGCGGATCTAGAAATTTTTTATAGGGGTGTCCTCTCTAAAAAAATGAAAAATAAATAATTCATAAATAAAAAATACATGAATAGTACAAATTTAACAAAAGGCCACGACGTGTTTTCATACTGTGAAAAAGAATATAAAATATACTCGACGTCGTCACTGCTCAACAAATCTATATATCATACTAGACAATATTTCACGAATTGATCGCATATTCAATTTCTAACCTTGTTCTTTATGTAACTCAAAGTTGAAAGACTCTTTTAACTCTTACCGTGTAACTATAAAACCAATTCAAATTAAGGATAGCCCGTAATTAGTTTAGTTGTTAGGTTTTGAAAATAGTTGGGGATAAAGAATAATTTTTTTACTATTTCATAGTGTTTAAATAGAACAAGAAATGAGTTGCAACCTAGAGAATATGTTTAATAATAGTAGTGTCCTAGGTTCGAATAACACAAACTACCATTTATATTTTTTTTAATCTTACACAAACTACTATCGAGAGTAGTATAATCATTTTGTTCAAAATTTAAAGGTGTACCGGATTACCAATTATAATTTTTTTTCTCGATACGAAACTACAACCGGGGGTTGAATAATCGTTCTTCCAAATTTAGAGGTGTCCCGAGACACCCCTAAATGTCCATGTATCCGCCACTTATTGTACCATCAGTGGTGGTGTCAAAATTTCGTTTACAACGAGTCTGAGATGGAGTAGAATGGATGAATTGGTTGCCGGTGGTAACAAGTTCAGGGTGATTGGTGTGGTGGCGTTGGAATAATGGAATATATTTAGTGGACGACAACGGCTAGCCAGGTTAGATAGGGGGGAGGAGCTGAGGAGCTTGATCAAGAGTGAAGCTTTTAAGGGAAAAGAATACAACTGATCGATTTTTTCCTTTTTTGCATTAGATGGAGGCCGAAGCCAAGAAAACAGAACAAGCTAGGAAGGCAGGATTATAGAGAGGTAGAGGGGTGTGTCGATCACAACACGACTCTCGAAAGAAATACCGATGGTGTCGTCTCTAAGAATTTGGGTCACTCCTGAGAATGGGTTAGCAAGTTCATGCATACCGTAGCAATAGACGAGACTATGTTTTGAGAGCCAGTACGAGACTTTATTTTTCTTCTCGATATGTATGAATGACATTAGCCAACCATTCTTGCCCCAGTTTCCTCCGGATCGTCTCTAGAAGCGAAGTGTATGGACGTACCAGGTTCTGTTTGTTGCTGATCGAATTTGATTTATATGTCTAGTATATTTATGTAAGAAATTAGAAAGATTAATATATACAAAATGCGATGAATATAAATTGTTTATTTGTCTTATTTCACAATCGAGATAAGTCTCGAGACCCATTTTGTTTGTCACTGACTCCACCTGATGGTGTTATGTAAGATAAGGACATAATTGAATCTTCAAAGATGATGGTATATGACTATAAACCTGTGGAACTAATTGCAAAACAAAACAAGCTTACCCACTACATTAAAAAGTAGAATCTTTCCACTTAAGTCGTGTAATGTATTTTGTTTTCAAAGTCCAAATTCAAAATTACAAGCTATGATTTTGTTTTATTATGGGTAGGGTAATACAATTTTTGGTATATAAAAGACTCATAGTTAATTACTATTCTGCAACTGAGAATTCAACTCTATCTGTAACAATTAAGACAAGTTAGATTTTGTCCAGTTTGATCCCTGAAACTTTGATATATTTCTTAAACGAGACCACATACCAAGTTTTTACCAAAACAAGTCACCAAAGTTCACGAATTTTCCTAAAGGGACTACTTGCCTGAAAATCTTAAAGAATTGCAAAGTTCAGGTACTAATCATACTGTTTGAAAATTTAACGGAGGAGAATTACAATTAACCTCATCCCATATCCCGTAGAAATTATCCAGTAATTAAGCTTGAATCAGACGGTCCCGGCATTAGTTCCTGAAAAAATCCCACTTTTATACGGCCCAGATCTCATCTCTACACTGTTCGGCCGTTACCGAATCTGACCCAATTAATAACAGAAGCCGAGCCGAGCCCAAATGCCCAATGCTGTGTACCCACGCGGCCACGACCGCTGTTTTAAGTTTTAACCGCCGTGAAAATTGAAATGCTCACAAATCCTCCGTCAACGTTTACGAAATTACAATTTAATGCCCCCATTAAAAATTAAAATCTCCCGATACTAAATAATAAATTTCTCCCTCCCAATAAATAAAAGGCCTAGAGCTTAGACTGCTTAGTCACTCACACTTCCCTCCTTTCTTCCTTCCATTCCCCTGCCTACCTCTGGCAACTCTCACTCCTTCCAACTCTCCCTCGATCACTGCGTCAAAGTACTTCAGAACTCTCCGGCGCCGACGATTTTCGCATTTCGGCCGGTGTTAGTCTGTAATGACGGTGTTCTCCGGCAAGCAGGTGGTCCCGGTAGACTACGGCGCCGAGGTGTCGCAGCGGCTCCTCGAAGCCTGCCTCGCCGGCGATCTCAGATCCGCACTCGACTGCATTCCCGATCCCTCCCTCGACGTCAACTTCGTCGGAGCCGTCTGCTTGAAGTGCCGTCGTAGCGAGGTCGTTCTCCGCGACGAGTCCCCCGGCGAGGTCAGAGTCGAGTACGAGGAGTTCAGGACCGACGTCACCGCTCTATTTCTCGCCGTCCACTCCGGCAACGTCGCTCTCGTCAGGAACCTCCTGGTAAACTAATTTCTCTGAATCACTCACTCCGATTGATTGATCTTGAGTTGTTAACTTGAATTGGACTCGGTCCGAGTCGAGTCTCAAGCGAGTCGTCGAACTCGTTCCCCGCCCTCTGGTTTCGATTATCCGAGCTGTTTGAATTTTGAAAAACTCAAATTTCGATTTCGGAATGTAACGCTGTACGCTTCCATGGAAGTCTGGATTTGGTCCCCCTTCATTTTTGGCGGTATCTTCCATTTCTAAACTGTTTTCAGCTTGAAATCATGGAAATGTGCCTTTCTCGCCTGAGAAATCAGGGCTTAAAGCAAAAACCGACGAGTAAAAAAAACTTAGCGGGGCAGTTAAATAACTTAAATTTCGAAACTGAGCCATCTTTTTAGACATTCTACCTTTTTCCCCCTACTGCGGGCCTGAAGCTACCACCAAGCACGCCGATTGATTTGAAACCACTTCTCCCAACTTTAGTTTAGCATCTACAGGGTAAATAATTTATTTATTCAACGTGTCAATTTGATCATATTCGTATACTACTTTAACTAACTGGTACGATGCGATTCCACTAATACTGATCAGTAAATAAGGTTGAAAACCAGAGTGAAGCTGATTCATCCGGCGGTACTAATGACCCTCATTGCTCTTTTTTTGGTAGAAACTTGTACTTGTTCATGGTGATTTCGTGAGTGATTTATTACTTACTAGTACTACCCACCTGTTTTCAATGCGGTAATTAAGTCAGAGATCGGTAAAACCTCCATTTGCCCAATTGCCCTGACGAAAGGTGCTCCCTATTAATGGTTGGTTTTACTGCTGTGTCGAGTAAGTTTTCAGGAGGAGAGCTTTCCTTTTTGCCAATGGGAGGAGTAGTAAAACCAAGTTGGGTTGGCAATGGCAGAAAACAGTGTTACTTACAGCTTGTGTACGGCATGATTTGTTTCTATACGAGTACAATGCAATAACTCGAAGGGTCTCTGTTTTTGGCTGTCAATATTATGGGTTTTTTATATTGCTCTGATAGCTCATTGGGGGAGACATATACTGTTGACATATTTATCCTGCTGCAATTTCCCCCAACTTATCTTCAATGACTACTCGTGAAGCCCATTACTCCCTGTCTTCTCTTTACCTTGTAGGTGAAAATCAACCTGAACTTTTTACTGTAGGATGGATGGATCGATATTGATTCCTCATGACTAGACTAGATTTCACATAAGTTCCATGCCAGTTTGTCTATCTTGTCATGTTATATTATTGGCCCTGTTTGTCAGTTTATGGCCAGGGGGGTATAATTTGTACTCGAAAGAAGATGCCAGCCAAGTTGGCCTAAAATAGCATTTCATTTGTCTGCTTTCCGACGCTCATTCGGAGTTTAATTGAAGAAAGAGCATACAAAGCAAAGGTCTTTTCACCGACTTTTATCTTTGTGCTCGTAGTACTAAATAATGTGCTTGGTATTCAATGGCAGAGCGTGGGAGCTGACGTGAACCATAAGCTCTTCAGGGGGTTTGCGACAACAGCAGCAGTAAGAGAGGGCCACCTCCAGATTCTAGAGATCTTACTGAAAGCTGGCGCGTCTCAGCCGGCTTGTGAAGAGGCCGTCCTGGAAGCTAGCTGTCACCAAGGGCGGGCGAGGTTGGCCGAAGCATTGATGGGGTCTGATCTCATTCGGCCCCATGTTGCTGTGCATGCCCTTGTCACCGCTTCCTGCCGTGGGTTCGTCGATGTTGTCGATACCCTTATGAAGGTCAGCAAACACGAAAATTATTCAATCATTGAATTAGTCTGATACCCCACATAACAAAAAGAACATCCCGCTCATGGGCTAAGTTCGTAGCATTCAGAAATTGAATGAATTTGGACATTTGAATCATTAGTCACTGTGCTCAACAGTTTCTGTGATCTGTCTTTTGCAGTGTGGTGTGGACTTCAACACCACCGACAGATTGCTATTGTTGTCGTCCAAGCCTTCCCTCCACACCAATGTTGACTGCTCTGCGCTTGTTGCTGCTGTTGTTTCTAGGCAGGTTGATGTAGTTCGCTTGCTGCTAAAGGTAATGCATAAATCTAAACTATACATCAGAAATCAGATGTATGATTTTATGGTATGGATATCAGGGGACATATAATTGTTGATCACAAATTATTAATTTATTATCATATTTATAATTTCAACTCGAATTATTTACTCGTATCATACTGATACGAAATTAGTGAATTCTGGGGAACAACGTTTATGATTATTATAAGTTTAAACAATGATTACTTCCAAATGAGTTACATTTGGAAACAAACACACCTGAATGCACTTAGGATTCTAATCAGGTTGACAATATACACAGGCTGGCGCGAAAACTGATGTGAAAGTGAGGCTAGGAGCATGGTCATGGGACACAACCACCGGCGAGGAGTTCCGGGTCGGCGCTGGACTAGCCGACCCTTACGGCATCGCATGGTGCGCCGTCGAGTACTTCGAAGCCACCGGAACCATCTTGAGAATCCTCCTCCAACAACACTTCTCACCAAATACCACCCACCACGGTAGAACCTTGCTCCACCACGCCATCCTATGCGGCAACCCAGCCGCTGTCAACGTGCTCTTAACCTCTGGCGCCGATGCAGAGTCCCCTGTTCATACTTCGAAACAAGCCTTCAGACCAATCCACATGGCCGCCCGCTCAGGCTCGCCACAAATCCTCAAGCTCCTGATCAACTCCGGCTGCCATCTCAGCTCCACCACGGACTCCGGCGACACCGCTTTGATGATCAGCGCAAGGTACAAACACGGCGAGTGTCTCAAAGTACTCGCCATGGCCGGTGCAGATTTCGGCCTACTCAACAACGCAGGCCAATCTGCACTCTCACTGGCTACAGCAAACCGCTGGTCGCTCGGTTTCCAGCAAGCAGTACACGAAGCAATTAGAGCACGAAATGGTGAAAAGGTCATTGTTTCGAGCAGTCTGTCCGTCTTCAACCCTCTCTTCTTCGTAGCTCAATCCAGCGACGCTGAGGCATTGCAGGACCTGATCAAGTCAGGGGAGGTCAGCCTTAACTACCAAGATGAGGTCAACGGCTACTCTGCAGTAATGTGCGCAGCTCTACACGGCCGTGTAGAGTCCTTCAGGGTGCTGGTCTACGCTGGGGCCGACGTCAAGCTACAGAACAAAGCCGGCGAGACAGCCATCTCAATCTCCGAGCTGAACTCAAACCGCGACTCATTTGAGAAGGTGATGCTCGAGTTTGCACTCGAGCAAGGCAACAGAAACTCCTCCTCCGGAGGGTTTTACGCACTGCATTGTGCTGCTCGTCGTGGGGACACTACTGCAGCAGAGCTTCTGACGTGTAGAGGCTACGATGTCAACGTTCCAGACGGAGATGGGTACACTCCGCTGATGCTGGCAGCGAAAGGTGGCTTCAAGTCCATGTGCGAGTTGTTGATATCTCATGGTGCTGACTGCGAGTTCAGGAATGCCAGAGGCGAGTCTGCAGTTTCTTTGGCTAAGAACAAGGAAGTGAGGAACAAGATACTCGACGAGCTTGCACGCAAGCTTGTTACTCAAGGGTGTCGCGTGATGAAGCATACCAAGGGAGGCAGAGGGGTGGCTCATGAGAAGGAGATCAGAATGGTGGTGGCGAAAGGAGTTTTGACGTGGGGGAAGAGTGGTCGGAGGAATGTGGTCTGCTTGGATGCAGAGGTGGGAGCCAGTAAAGTGTTTCGGAGGAACAGGAAGAGCAGAGGAGATGGTGAGGTGTCACCTGGGTTGTTTCGGGTGATGACCACGAAGAAGAAAGAGGTTCATTTCGTCTGTGATGGTGGCGATAAGATGGCTGAGCTTTGGGTTAGAGGGATAAAGCTGGTTACTAGAGAGGCTATCTGCGGTTGAAAGATGGGGAAGTAGTATACATAGAGAAGAGAGATGATGAGAGGGTTTGGTTTAGAGAGGAGTTTACTTCTTCTTGAAGTAAGCTGTGGAGAGTTCTTGATTTTGTAAAGTTCTCTTTTGATCCACCTGTAGTTAAAAGTGGCCATTTTCAATCCGAGAAGTTTAGTAGAACAAAATATGACCATAGTTGGTGAATCAAAGGATTATACCGAACTCACTAATGAAGATGGTAACCATATATAGTAGAACAAAATGTGACATGGTAAGGAAGAAGAAAGCGAAACGTTTTATGTCGAATTCAAATGCTACAAAGTTTGAAGCGAATCAAATATCCATGAGGAGAATTCAAACCTACATGGATTCAGTTCATGATCTATGGATTATCAAACATGAAGACGTGAACTAATCCTCCTCCTTTTCACTAAGGAACTGAGGCAGTATGTAGTGTACATGAAGAATGGCTTGCAGCCAAAGCAATACATCTCTAATCCGCAATCTAGCTGAGAACATCAGTTGAAAGAAATGTGGCCAATGAACTAACTCAAAAGTTAATCGGAATGCAACTGGTATGGAAAGGAATGGCCTACCGCCTATATAGTCTCTCAGATTAGCCGAAGCCGGAAGCACAAAGCTAGCCTTGAGTGATTTCCTTTTCCTTTGCTTTACACATGTCTTCTGCTGACTTCACAAACTTCTTTGTTAACTCATCGATCTGAGATGTGGCCGACAATTGATGAGTGGTTGGTTCATTAGAGTCCTTGCATAGTGATGTGGAAGATGAAAACAGTACTGGGAGGATAAACTAGCTCACCTCTTTCTCCAGTCTCTTGGCATCATCTTTAGGTACGCTTGATCCGGCTTTTTTAATTGTATCCAACGCCTGTCATAGGAAGCCAGGCATTCTATTCAGCTCGAGCCAGACTCATTCACAGGAATAATTATTAGATCATCAGATGTCAATGTGAAATTGGCAACAAGGAACCAATTATGAACTGAAGAAAACTATGTACTATATATACAGTGGTCTAACAATTCTGAGGGCCTGTTTGACTCCAATTATGAACTGAAGAACCCTAAAATTGTTTAATCAGTTTACCTTCTGACGAGCTCTTCTTATGCTTTGTTTGACATCTTCACTCGACTTGGTAACCACCTTACACAAAGCCTATAGAAAGGCTCTTCCAGTCAGTCAAAGGGATTTACATGGGGAATTGAGCTAAAAAGGGAACCATAACAGTTAATATATCACCTGCATATGTTCTTTGGTTAATCTGCCAAATACAAAGAACGCAAAAAAAGTACATCAGAAACCCAAACATAATGCTGCTGTCTCAACATTATCGAGCTTGAAACTAATATCCCTAAACTGACTGAAAAAAACGGTGCCATAAGCTAGTGAGTGCTTACGGTGGAATAGCAGCAATCAGTCGTTCACCTTCAGCACGGGGATTCAGCCCCAATGGAGATGAAACAATTGCTTTCTCCAGTTCCTTAAGAGTCTGTGAAAAGGAAGTAATTTACCATAATCACGGTCTGTTCAGTAAATAATAGCACCAGAAAACAAGGAAAAGAGCTCCAATTTGGAAAACCATCTTCAGGTAGAGTTCATTACATTGGGATCATAAGGATTCACAGACAAGGTTTTGGGGTCCATGACTGAAACAACAGCTAACCGATTCAGTGGCATTTTGACACCACCAGTTTCGACAATGATGTGGTCAAGCATTCCTGCAGAGAAGCCATTTTAAGCATGGTCCAAATAACTCAAGAGCTCGGGTCAAATCAAAAGCATATACGAACGGTTCCACGTATCACACCTGGAGAGGCCCTCCCAGTTCGTAACTTGGTAAGTTCTCTAGACAATGCATCTATTGCTGCATCCATCTGTGAGGCCGCACCTGACTTAGCAGCAGGTCCAATGTCGGGTGCAACTTCAACTGTCCCCCCACCAGAATCATCCCCTAAGGATACAAACCAGAAAGAGAATGAGTTTCACAAATGCTCTCTCCAAACTAGCAAGGCGCCATTTTTGGTCTAGCTCGACTATGATTCAGAAGCCAAACATAAGCTTGCAATAGCAGACTTTTGAACCCTCAATCATTCGAACCACAGCTCAGAAAACAAACTTGCACGGAAAAGGCCAATTGCCCATCTTGCTCACAGTTAACTGACGCAATTCGTTGAACACTAACAGGCCACTCGACACAAATCCAACAAAAAAGCTCAATTGCAAGATCGAATAAATCGGAAGTTACTTGATCGTTTGCCCTTGGCGAACCCTCGATGACTCTCTTTGAGGAAGCCGAAGTTCGTCGGCAGAGTTGGCGCCTCTTTCGTCCCGGTAAAATGGCTGCAGATGAAATCCCGCGAAAAGACGAGACCCTGAGAGAAGCTCCGAGCTTGGATGACTTCCCGCGACCAAATTCCTCGAATCAAACCAATTAAACTTCGAGATGAGACTGCCCGTCTCAGATACATCGTCATCTCAGTGATTCTCTTCCCTTCCTTTCCACTTCACTCCAAAAATCAAAGTTTCTTCCTTGCTTCGGCCGCAATGGAGGATCAAAATTCCGATTTTCATTCGAAGGTTTATAGGGTTTTGCTGCCGTCTTGAACGGCGCCGTTCCGACGATTTTCCGAGTCGTGTGCCGCGCCCACGTGGCGGAGCAGATATTTTATTACTTTTCCTACCTTTTTTATTTTGTTGTGTAAACGAGCCATTCTACACCAGTCGTTAGTTCTTCTCTGCATAGTTCAACCTTGCGCTACTCCCTACTTTCTAGTATTCTCTGCGGAAGATCGCTCCCTTCATTAACGAGCTCGAAAATCTGCCAACCCAGTTCTCGAACTCTGGATTTTGGAGCTTAAAGATGAAAGCTTTATTCGCTATCCGCTGCTCTTCTTCCTCAGTCGGCTTCACTTATCTCCTCTCTAAACCCGTTTTACCCTCTTCCAGGTACTACCTATCTTCTTTCTGTCGTCCCTCCGTTGATTTCTACTGGAAAAATGGGTTCGTTCTTTCTGTTTTCAATGAACACAGCGTGGGTTTTATTTCTGTAGAGAAAAAGACTCCGCCTTTTGTTTCCGCTTGTTGGTTGTTCTGGTTCTAATGGTATTTGCCCTTCTGCTATAGTTGATTTTCGTTACCCTCGTCCTAATTGCAAGATATGGGGACTTGAAATAAGCTTCGAGCTATTTATTTGTGTTATTTCGTTCTATTATGGTGAAATTGAAGTGTTCTCTGATGAAGCGTTGTTGAAAAGCTTTACTTATTGGTGTTGCTTTGTTTCAGAAATCGGCTCTTCCTCCCTGACAAAGCATTCTTTTTCTGCCGGGGGACATTTGGTAATTTCAGTCAATATTGTTTCACCTGGAATTTGGTAGATATGTTCATTGAATTGAAACACTTTTCTTTTCTTTTTTCTTGAACAAATGGGAAGGTACTAGGGTAGATGGATTATCCGCGGCAAGATCAGTGCCACCAACATTGCTCACTGCAGAAAAGGAAGAAGCAAAAGCTGTTCTAGCCTTGTTCTTGAAGAACCAGGGTGTGAGCAAGTCAGTCGCTTCGAGAACTGCCAACAAATCGGATGTCTTCATCGACCATCTCATTTCCAGGCTACATTCTGTTCACAAATCTCGGTATCTAGTAGGTTCGAATTGCTTTCTGTCTTCTTTCTTCGTATGCCAATTTCACTCAGTTTCCTGTTCCTCAACTTGTCTCATTGCCTGATGAATAACCTCCATTTTCGACACAATGTTGTATAGGAAGAGAACTCACAACTCTTGAGATTAGGGACGCTCTCATTCCTTACCTTGAATCGCTCCACGAAGAACACGGCAACGTTCTGGTTGATGTTGTAGAGAACTTTCCAGACCCTCCGGTTAAAGATAAACCTGCTGCTGCTGCTCTTCCTGCCATTCCTCCTCCTGAAGTACCTCTCAGTTCGAAGAAGCTAAAAGCTGTGAGTCGAGTGAGCGAGATAGGCCCAGCTGGTGATCTTCCACCTCACATCCTCTACCTCATAGATCTCGGTTTGGACCTGGAAAAAATCAAAGTGATCACTAGAAAGTTCCCGGCTTTTGCTTACTACAGTTTGGAAGGCAAGATCAAGCCGATAGTTGAGTTCCTCATCGATCTAGGCATACCTAAAGCAAACCTCCCAGTCATCCTAACCAAAAGGCCACAACTCTGTGGGATCAGCCTTTCAGAAAACATCATACCCACCATGAGATTCTTGGAAGATTTGGGAGTCGACAAGGCACAATGGGCAAAAGTGATATACCGGTTCCCAGCTATACTTACTTACAGCAGGCAGAAGGTCGAATCAACTGTGGAGTTCCTCTCCGAAATGGGCGTCTCGGCTGACAGCATAGGGAAGATCTTAACTCGGGCACCAAACATCATTAGCTATAGCGTGGAGGACAAGCTTCGTCCCACAGCAGTTTACTTCAGATCCCTCCATGTCGACGTAGGCATTCTTCTATTCCGTTCTCCTTCAACGTTCGGTCTCAGCATCGAGGCAAACTTGAAACCCATCACCGAGTTCTTCTTGGGGAAAGGGTACACACAAGAGGAAATTGGGATCATGATCTCGAGGTATGGAGCTCTGTATAGCTTCAGCTTGGAGGATAACCTTATCCCGAAATGGGAGTTCTTCCTCACCATGGATTACTCCAAGGACGAGCTTGTCAAGTTCCCACAGTACTTTGGCTATAGCTTGGAGCACAGGATCAAGCCGAGGTACGCTCTTGTTAGGGAGTATGGAGTGAGGTTGCTTCTGAACCAGATTCTTTCCTTGTCGCGTAGTAACTTCGATAAGGCCTTGGAGAAGAAGCTCATGATCATGACCAAGAAGAAAACTCTCTGATTTGAAGATGTAGCTTTTTTTTTGGCTTGATGTTCATCTTCATGGTTATAGTTATTGTCTTGTGGTTGTGCTGATGCCTGATGTTTAGTTAGAAGCTAGTTTGTATGACTGCAGTTGTAGACTAGTACAGATTCAAGATGATGTACAAGGTTGGAGGGATTTTCTTTTTCTTGTATGAAACATCTAGCGGGCCTAAGAACCCATAGCAAGCCCAGAGCACCGGAGAGAGATTGGGCCCGTGGTTTGTGGATAATTACAAATCAATAAGGTAAAACGAGGGATTGACACGCCATCTTAACACGAGTCAGAATTTCACTGCTTCCATGCGATTTTGGCTTCCCACCGATTTCTATGAAATAATATTACAATAAATAATTAAAATCTCACTCTGTCACTTTGCTGTTCCTTTCTTTCCAATTTTTTTGGAATTTTTTTGGTTACTTACTAAATTTTTTCGCAGAATTATGTTTAATAGGAAAATTTTTTAATACAATAACAGTGTAATTAGGCAATATGATAATAAAATTGGTAACCGACTATCTGCTTCTTTGGTAAGCTTCTTTCTCTCTGGAGAGTCTGGACCGTTTTCTTTTCAAGCACACTGTCAGTGCCACTCTCTTCTTCCCCCCACTGCTCTCTCTCCGGCTCGTTTGTAGCCATTCGACATAGCCTTGCCATAACAACCTCTTCTTTCTTTTGGGTTTTTGAATTTCAAAAATTGAAATTTCACGTGTGGAAGAAGGCCAAAGCAGAGTAACCCAAGAACCAATACTGCAGGAGCCAAGAAGAAGAAGAGTCGTGAAAGAATGTTCTACTCGCAATGCTTCCTGTCAAGAGAAGGGCCGCTAGGTTCGATTTGGGTGGCGGCTTACTGCTACAAAAAGCTCAAGAAATCCCAAGTCACCCACACTGACATCTCCTCCTCTGTTGGTTTGTTTCCCCTGACCTTAACTCTGTACGAAAAAATAGTGTGAAATTTTTGGTCTTCTTTGTCAGCATGAGTTCATGGGTGTGCAGAAAACAGTGATCTTTCAGTTTCAGTCTCCATGAACTGGACAAACGCTTAGTGGGCTTTTGCTGGTAGATTTTTCTTTGTTTTTCTTTGGGGTGATTGTATTTCGCAGAGAGGATTTCTGGATTTCAAGTGTCTGTTACAAATTCGGGAGGTGTTTGGCAGTCTTTGGAATCAGCCCTCTTCAGCATTTATTGCTGTTCTGATTTTGAAATGTTCAATATTTGATGTTCCTATCAGACAAAGTGTTGCAAGATGAGTTTGATGATGTCGTTGCCTATAGAGTGCTGGCCTACTTTCTTCTTGGGATTGCCAGGATATACTCCAAAAAGGTTGACTATCTCTTCAACGACTGCAACAAGGTGCTTGCTAAGGTCAAGGAATTTGTTGCTGCTACTGGTAATAGTAGTGACATTGCCCTCGTGGCGCTTACATCCCCTTGTTTCGGTGCCATTACCCTCCCCGAAAGGTTCGAACTTGATGCTTTTGACTTGGGAGTCCTGGAAGATACTGGTAGTGGGTGAGTTGTAATTGTGATAAAATATGATTGTTTCTTTTATTGATGTGCTGAAACTATAGTTCATTCCTGATGTTTGTTGTTCTTTCATCTGCGTAGGTGCAATGTATTGCCTCTAGAAGACATCACACTGGGAGGTATTTATCTATTCTTTTCTTTTTCCCGTTTTTTGGTGTTCCTGTCTACACTCCACTTCAGCTGCATAATTACTTGTGGAACAGATGGTACGAGGAGATATGGGAGATCCGAGTACCTTGCTAAAGACAAGGTAAATCTTCCATGACAAACTGATGATGTAGCTTATCTTGCTTAGACACAAATGGATGAAAGTTGATACTTGGACAGCCTCAGAAGTCGTCGTTTTATGCTCTATATTGTTTGTAGTATGACGAGTTTCAGTGAGATTATGTTGCTTACAAAGATGTTCTACTTCGATTTGCAGTATCACTGCATGGATCTCGTTCCCCTCGAGGATAGATTCCCTGCCGTTGGGTACCCTCTGAATGAAGAGTATGGATACCAATCCCAAAATCTCTTTCTGTCCGGTTATCTGATTTTGAGTTTCTCATGGGGTTTTTTCTTCTTAATGGAATAATTCATGTAGCATGTTGCCAGTTGAGAGGGCGGCAGGTACATCAAGTGAACCAGAGAACTTGAAAGCAACTGTTGAACCTGATGGTGATACCCCACACCAAGATTGGTGCGAATATTCTGCAGAACGTGAAATGCTATCATCTAGGAATCCGGATGATCATTTACCAGAAGTCGGAACCTCACATTCGCAAGTTTGTCAACCTGAAGATATTGGAGAGTCTAATATAATCTGTATGCAGAAGGTATGGGATGATGATTACTTTGAAGCATTATCCCTCAATATTGGAATGTCTCTTGGAATCGAAACAAAATGTGGTGATGTTGTTGAGCTAGCTGCCGAACTTCATCAAACTGAAGGGCAGCATTCAGATGTGCCGCCTGTTACCGAGGCACAGGATGGTATCCCTCAGGACAATACTATAGTATATGAAATGTCTTCTGAAGTTGAGGTGCATCGTGTAGATGTGTCACATATGCCCAAATTGGTAAACGAGATGAATCATGGTGATGTGAGTGTACTAGAAACAAATGTTGAGCAAATTCAAGACAATGCATCTTTGCAGGGCCAATCTGTCGATTATGAAATGTTCAATGGAGTTGAGAAACCCCTCGAGGATGCTGAAAATGTTGGTTCTGTGGAAGAGACACCATCAAGATGTGTGAAACAACAGTTTGGGCTAGTATATCGTAGGGGAGAAAAGAAAGGAAAGGTTCCAGATGAGCCTGAACCGACGGAAGCTAGCGTAGAGAAACTGCAAGATTGTAGATTATCTCAGGAGAAAGTTCTGAACTTTGAAACATTCTTCCCAGTTCAGGAACAACTTCAATGTACTACGCCATGTGTTAAAGAGAATCACAGTGCAGTAGAACGCATCAAGTTGATCGATGAAACACCATCCGGAAATACTCAGTCTTGGGTGGCCAGAGATGTTTGTCATTTATCAGTGACAGTTGACAGTACTCCTGAATCTCAATATCCCAACACTGCAGGTACAAGGAACTTAAAAATGTGGTTGTTGCATATTTTTTTTCTTTTAGTCTTTAAATGTTACTGGATGCATGTGAAGAAGTTTTTTGGCAAGTTTGTACTACTGATGAATAAGCTACTGATGAATCTTTGTTATTACACAGGAATGAATAGAACGCCAGAGGTTTTGGTTATTCCTACTCCAGCAACTAAGGAGCGTGCTCCAACTCAAAGAAAGAGGAAGTGCATCTTCGATGATATCATTGTGTTTCCAAATGAGTATGTTCTCCTCTAAAGTGCTCAATTCTAAGCTGTATCATACTTGATAGCAACTTGTTGCGAAGGAGGATGAATGTTGTTATAGAGTTTGGTGTTAGGAAAATGAATTTTTATATATCCAATTGCAGCATAGTTAAGAGAAGCATACAAGATCCGAGTGGCTTGGTTTCTAAAAGAAGAAAGGTTCCTCATACTGGTCTTGCTGCCTGGAAGGCTTATCGATTTCTCAATCTGCATCAGTGTTTAATGGAACCCTTGATTCCTTGTAAGTTTTGCTAGTAAGAACGATAGTAGATATCAATTATTCATGCTGTCCTTGCTAAACACTTTCTGCACAGGTTCACCTTTGGGGACTGCATTGAAGATTCTTTTTGACAAACGATCGAAGATTCCTGAAGCTATTAAGACATGTACTACCCCGAAAGAGTCGTTATCTAGATCAAAATGCTCCGCTGGTCAGTCTAGTACTATGAAACCTTCAGGCAATTCAGGATCTCTTAATGATGGTACACCAGTTGAAGTTGTGGAATCTCAGCACACTTTAGAGGATTCCCGGCATCTAGCTGTTGGTGAATTAGTAGTAGATCCTCCAGCGAAGTTGGATGATAATGAACCTGAAAATGCTACTGGTGGAATCTCAGACCAGACAGTGATTTCTCCTGGGACACCAGTTCGTTCATCAGCTCAAACAATGAAGCTAAACATACCGGAGTTTGGAAATGCCTCGATGGAACATACTGTTATCGCTCCTGAGACACCTGTTCAGTGTACAACAGCATTCAGATCTTTTGAAAGCCCCGAGAGGCTTGATGCTTGCAATGCGGATTCTATTGGTCCATCATTCGACCATTTTGAGAAAGAGACTGACTTGAGAAAGGATCAAGAAACTGATCTTCATTTCATGAATGAGGTATTAAAACTATGAGTTCACTGTTTTCAACTCAATGAGGTATGCCACAGAAGTTTCGGCCCTTTTCTTATTCTCTCCCCACTTAACTCTGTCAGGATATGATGATCGACGATGAAAACCAGGAAATTGGTAAGTATTGCATGCAATTGTTCATTTGCTTGCTGGGGTTCCTGATGTTAGTGCGAGTACTGATAGGCTGTTTCTGTCACAGATGGATGGTCGGAAAGAACCAGGTATGATGAAGTATGGTTGGGAGAGTATATATTGGGTTTGTTTCGGCTTTGAAAAAAAGAAGTAAAAGAAACACGCTCTAGAATGTTGTGGATGACTATTACTTCAATGGCCCTCTCTTGTGTTTAACTTGGCTTGAGGTCTTCTATTGCAGGGTGGCAGCCAGGCTCCTGCAGAATACATTTACAGAGAAACAACGTAAAGGGGAGGAGGAAATAGTGAACCTGCTGCAACTCCTGGAAGGAAGAACAAAGAAAGAAAGTGCGAGGCTCTTCTACGAGATACTGGTACTTAAAAAACAAACTTTGTTCAACTAAGGAACTTCTGGAGAAAGAAAAGAAAAAAACAGTACATTGCTGTGATGACACTGTGAACTCCTGCAATTCTTTCAGGTGCTCAAATGTAAAGGGTTCGTGGATGTGAAGCAAGAGAGTGGGTATGGGGAAATCCTTGTGCAGAAGCCCTCTTCAATGGAGTCGTGATCTGTTCAAGGGTTCTCGGGTTTTGGTTTAGTGTTCCATACACAGATACACTCTATGGCTGCCCGAATAGAGACGAAGAGTTGCAACTCGGAAAAAAAGAGTAGGACTTAGCTGTAGGAAACTTGAATAGGAGGAGAGGCTTGGTGTAGGGAATAGTTAGGAATCCAGGATGTAGCTTGTTTCTGTAAATGATACATGAAAACATTTATGAATATATGCAGCTAGTATATTGATATTCTTGATTACTTCTACAGTTCAACTTTCTTCACCTCTTGTTGCATTCTACATTATCATTTCACATCTTTAATCTGGCTTTGTTGCCTTGAGAGTCCAATTTTGTATAATAAAACATGCAAGTAAAATCAAACAACAAGCGGGGATAGCTCAGTTGGGAGAGCGTCAGACTGAAGATCTGAAGGTCGCGTGTTCGATCCACGCTCACCGCATTTTTTCAATTTTATTTTTATGGTCTGAATCTTCGTTTAGTTTATTTTTTTAGTTTATTTTTTGGGCTCCGGCCTATTCGAAGCTATCGCGGGCCCGATTTATTGGGTTTGAAGGCCCAGTCAATGTCCGCGACTTGCAGACAGAATCTGAAAACTTTCCTCCTTCCAATTCCGGAGTCTCTCCATCGCTCTCCCCAAAACCCTATTGTTCTCCGAATTGGAAGTCTCGATCTTAAACCCCATTCGCGGGTCTTCCTTCCATTGCCCTTCGCCTTCGGGGTGAAAGGAAAACGCTTGCTGGAACTGTTTCCTACTTTTTACGCCTTCCTTTTTGTTGGTTCGTTTTGGGTGGTGGATGCTTTGTGCGTGAGGAAGCAGAAGGGACGATTTGATATTAAGATCAACAGAATGGCAACCCAGGCAGCAACAGCTTTCAGTGGCAACGTAAAGGTACTTCCTTTAGATTTTCCATCAACAAGCCTTTCCCCAGTTTTCACTCTCCTTCGAATTTGGCGCCGAAGCTAATTCCACTTTACCGAGAATTGGAGCGCTAGTGAGCTCGCCAACTGTTTGTTGAAAGTTCTGGACGAATTGTGCGTTAGCTGCTTCATTGTAATTCGGATTTGAATGGATGATCGCATGTGGACTTTAGTGATTAGGATGGTTATACTTGCTGTGATTTTATCATCATGGAAATCGATTGTGCACATTCTGATTACTTGTGGGTGGCATTTCTAATTCTGGTGCTTTTTTTGGTTGCCTTACTGGCAGAAAGCACTTGCTGGCATTAAACGGATCAACCTCGATGGCCTGCGGTGGAGAGTATTTGATGCGAAAGGCCAGGTGGGATTCATGTTCGTCTTTCAATTTGATGTCTTTACCTTATGGGCTGAGCCTGCGCTGATTAACTACTCCCAATTGATGAATCAAATGCTCTTCCTAGTTTATCCAAGTAAAAGTAAGATAACATTAAGCCACTTTATTTTCTATAGGTACTTGGCCGGTTAGCATCTCAGCTGTCCATTGTTCTGCAAGGCAAGGACAAGCCAACTTATGCACCCAACCGTGATGATGGAGATATGTGCATTGTGATTAATGCCAAGGATATATCGGTTACAGGGAGAAAAATGACCGATAAGGTCTATTACTGGCATACAGGGCAAGTATCTGCTTTCATTTGATTTATCTGGACCAGTAAAATAATGGAATTGTTCTTCTAGCTGTTTGCTGAAGTAGATGACTCTTATTTTCTCGTATCTCTCTGAAGTCTCTTGTATAGCATTCCATAGCACCCCTTTCTCACTAGTGATTGACTGTGTGCCATCACTCTTGGTGCAGCTATATTGGGCACCTCAAGGAAAGGACTTTGAAAGACCAAATGGCCAAGGACCCAACAGAAGTCATTCGCAAAGCTGTTATGCGTATGCTCCCAAGAAATAAATTGCGTGATGTGAGTGTTAAATCAGACAGCTGTTATTTCTCTCTTCCCCTTTAAGGATGCATTTTGTATTGTTCTGTTCATACTGGTTCTGGTCACTGCTCTTAGTACTTTGACTGCTGTAATGCATTAATGACAGTTTCAGCATAGGCTGAATATTAGTGTGCTCACAGGGTTTAGTGAAGAAAAGTCCATATGTAAACTATTAGCAAAGTTTGACGTGGAGATTTGGATGGATCCATCCCAAAATTCAGTTGGAAGTCTTAAAACATTCTTGATTGTCAGGTGTTACTTTCTTCTGTGCTGAATCATGACATGGAAGACATGAATCTCTTTGGAACTTGCTTGGCAAATATATACTAATTTACATATCTATGGTTGATATCTCATGTCACAATTTTCGTCGTGAATGCAGGACCGGGATAGAAAGCTGAGGATTTTTGCTGATGGTGAGCACCCCTTTGGTGATCGGCCCATTGAACCATACGTGATGCCTCCCAGGACAGTTCGAGAAATGCGACCTCGTGCTAGACGAGCCATGGTTCGAGCGCAGAAGAAGGCTGAGATGCAAGCTCAGGGCGGCAGTGACACCAGGAAAAATAAAAAGAAAGAAGTTGAAGAGGAAGAGAGCGCATGAGAAACATCCATTAATAAACCATTCTCGCTGATCAGCAAGCTCTCCAAGAGATCCCTCGTCCAATGCCTGTGTTTTGCTTTTCCTTTGAAAAGGACAATCTGTTTGTGGGATATCCCAAGTGGGTTTTGTGCTTAAAATAGGAGCGCAAGTTATCGTTTCTGCATATTGGTTACTATTTACATCACTCTGTAACACACAAGAGAAATATGGTTCCATGAACTGAATGCTTACTTATCAAGCAACATAAATTTTGTATTTTTGAGTGCTTGTTCATTAGGGTCTTTAAGCGCTTCAAAACACCAATCATCCAGAATCATGCTGCGGTGTTCTACAAGAACAACAAGTTTAGCTAAAGCACTTCTGGAAGAAAAAATCAAAGCGTTGTAGACACTCACACATTCAGGCAGATCACAAATGGAACACAAAAAGGAACAGAACCAAAACGGCTCCTGCATTCCACACACTAGCCAAGCCTTTAACAAGTACTCTACTTTCCTTCGTCAGACCTATCAAAAGAAACTACAAACTAATCACTCGAATAACCATCACCACGTTCTTCATGGTCCTTCACAACCCTCTCGAGGATCCGCCTCCTAACACCATCCATCACAGCTTGGCTCGAAGTGTCGCTTCCATTCTGGCCATCGTTTAGCACTGGATCCGACTGGCACAGAACCAATGCAACACCTAAAAGACAAAGTTCATACGTGTCAAAATACAACCTGGACCGCCATTAATGATTCACAAGACAACCACAGTTCATTTTCGCCAGTAAAACACCACGTAGAGAGCTTGCAAAATGCTAAATACCGAACTTACTTTCAGGGGTACATCTCCTGCCAAAGCTTCTTAAGCCTACATAGTTTGCTTTCGCAGCACTATTGTTGTAGACCAAAAGAGTTGGGAGATTACGATCTGGGTAGTTGGGTATGCAGTCAGTAGAAATGATCTTAACAAACTTCGTGGCAGGGTATTTCGTTGCCAATTCTTCCAGGCAACGAAGTAAAACCCCACATTCTTGGTACCTACAAGGAAATTCGAGGGAAACAAAAAGGCATTAAGAGACAAACCATGGTAGCAAAACTTTCCAAGACACCACGAAACGCAATGGCTGAAGCGAAATACCCATCCTTGTAGAGGAGCACCACAACCCAAACTTCAGGAGGCGCTTGTGACACCTCTCTAACGAAATCGGAGCCCGAGATAGGCACCACTGATCCGAACTTTGCAATTTTAACTGTTTCTTTCATCTCAGCCAGCCTCTTCTTCCTAACATCACAAGTTTTTATCAGAACCAGCATGAAGTTCCTAGAAAGTCGATAAGAAGAAATTATCACAAGTCATCTACTTCAGCTTCAAATGAGCAATTCTCGATACCAAGAAATCCGAAAAAACCAGGAAGTCATCTGCTTCAGCTTCAAATGAGCAATCAACAAACAGTAAGAACATGCCAGTGAGAGCACTCCATTAGTCCATTTCAGTAAACTTAGTTCCATGGAGATGGTAACATCAAGCAAATTTCACTCGGTACAAACCGTACTCTCCTTTCTCTAGTCAATTTTCTCAGTAACCAAACAGCCAGTAAAAGGTAGATTCAGGATTCAGCAAAAATTTATCCACCGGTACAACTTCAATTACAGAAAGCAGCTGAACAAAAAAAACCTGTATTCTTCCAGGAAGCGATCGTCGTCAAGATCATCTTCGAGCTCCTCGAGCTCATCTTCGTTCTTCTCGTCGATCCACGCCTTATCCTTAGGGATCGAATCTTCATCCGGAGCCGGAGTAAAAGGCGCCGGCTTGAACGCCGGCGGCTTCTCGGGCAAATTCCCTAGCTTCCTCTGAATATCATCCCACTGAGTCGACGCTCCCTCTACGTCCTTGTACACAAAGTGATAGTCCGCCATTTTCACAAAGCTGGAAGCTTCTGTTCTTCGCCTTCTTCTATTCGCTCTCCTTTCCTTCCGATTCCGATCTGTAAAAACTAAAAACTGAAAAGTGTGCAAAATGAATTTTCAATCCTCCCCTTTCACGACCGCGCCACGGTGGCGGCAATGGCCCAAGCATAGTCTCCAGAAACAACAAATGGGCCTTACCAGGAACAACTAGTTTGGGTTTTTTACAAGGCCTCTGCACGATGGGCCTTTACGGAAGAAGAAAAAAACAACTGTGGGCTTTTTGAAGGGCCCTGCTTCTGCACCATGGGCAGCTTTGCTCCGTACTTTTATCGGCCCAATAAAAGCCACCGCCTCCTTTCTGGCCTTTTTGTCTCCTAGTTTTTGAAGAAGGTAAGCTGATGGAAGCAGGAAAGCGGAAGACTGAGGAGGAGCAACAAACTCTGGTTGATCGGAAGCGAAAGGCAGAAATCTCCGAACCGCCACCGCCGACGACGACTACGACGGTAACAATGAACGCGGTGGAATCTCTCGTGACGCAGATTCAGGGGCTTTCGGGAAGCCCGAACGATGTGGTGGCGCTTCACGCACACTTGAACAAAGTAGACGAAGCTCTCCGAGGCGAGTCCGCTCGCTTGCTACCTTTCCTCGACCAGCTTGACCCGTCAATCCACTCCCTCGGATACCTCTATCTTCTGTAAGTTCTGTAGTTCGTTCGCTGGGAATTGATTGTGCTAGTGTTGACGAACTTTAGGGTTTAACCGATTTTGTAGTGTAGGCGATTGTTTGATTTTGGGGTTAGTAAAGTATGGTGAACTTTGGAAAGAGCTGAAAATTTTGATCGGGCAGGTTAATGGGGAATGTCATTGTATTTTCCAAGGTCATGATGAGTCAATTGCTTGTGGAAGCATATTGGGAAAAAGTTTAGCAACCGGTTGATAGAGGGACATAGTGGATTCTCGTAGTGGGTTTTGTTCCTCGGCATGGTTGGTTTATGGTGTTTATGGCATTCCAATGGTGATGCAGTTGATTCTAATAGTTAGTGTCGGTAGGCTTATTGATACAATCCGATCACTTATTGTAAATAAATTTAGTCAATGAAAAGTACTTAGTTGGTTCTTCTGAAATTTGAGTTACTAGAGATGGAATGATGTCCCTGTTTGTGATGACAGAGATGCTTGTACTTCTGGCCCGGTATCCAAGGAGCAGGCAACAAATCTGGTTCTGATAACATCAAGGTTCCTCACTTCCTGCAGCACTGAGCAAATTCGTTTGGCGCCTGAGAAGTGTATGTATCTTTAGGTTGAATCCTACTTGTTCGTTTCTTTGTTACTTTAATGCCACAGTGCTATGAAATCTGACATTCTTGTTGTTTGAAACCTCTTTTGTTTCTAGTCACTGGCATGTGCAAGAGATTCAAGGATCAGGTTTTGTTAATCGAAGCGCCTATGCGTGGGGTGGCTCCATTGCTGGTAGCTGTTCGAAAAGTTCAGCCTTCTTCAGAGCATTTGACTAGTTTGCATCCAGATTTTCTACAACTTTGTCTGTTAGCAAAGTGCTACAAAACTGGGGTTTCACTTCTCGAAGACGATATTTTTGAGGTTACTCAGCCAAGGGACCTGTTCCTTTATTGCTACTACGGGTAATTGGAACTTGCTTTCTTCTGTATCATGCATGTTTATATGTGCTTGTCTCACTCCGGGAGGTGGATTATCCTTTTGTGATGTCTACTACTATTCTGGCAGGGGGATGATATGCATTGGACAAAAACACTTTCAGAAAGCCTTGGAGCTTCTACACAATGTCGGGGCTACTACTATTACTTACCTTTTCCATCCATGTCATTATCCCAATGTTTGTCTTTCATTTCTAACATTCCTTATACTTTCGTCTTATGCAGGTTGTGACGGCACCAATGACTTCGATAAATGCTATAGCTGTTGAAGCTTACAAGAAGTATGCATTAGTGTCTCTCATTGATAATGGACAAGTGAGCATTATTCATTTCTTGATCCTTAGACTTCAATCATTATTTTTTGCATGCTGAAGGGGTGTGGTTTTATAAATTTACTGGAAAATTGAACCATACTCCAATGATTAAGTGGCCGGTCTTCTATATTTTCCTGCACTACGTTGGAGTTTGACAGTTTTTTTTAATTCTACTGTTGCAGTTCTCACCTAGTCTTCCCAAGTACGCATCATCATCTGCTCAGAGAAATTTCAAGAACTTCTGCCAGGTATATTTTACTAAAGTTGTTGAGTGTGGCGCAGTTTAGAATTGCTTATTAGCATTTACCCTTAGTTATCTGTTAATCTGTGAATGCTAGTCTGGCTTGTTTCTTTATTTGGGGCCTATTGTCGGATGCACTCATTTCTTTCTCTCTGACCAGCCTTATATCGAGTTGGCCAATACCTACAGCAACGGGAAGATTGCAGAACTAGAGACGTTTGTCCAAAAGCACAGAGAAAAGTTTGACAGTGTGAGTAA